ACTGTACTTATCACGTGTACTGTGATACATTAGCTGTTATGAGTTGGTACTGTGTGCATTAACTGTTTTAAGTTTATCTATCTGGAATGCGTTCTGTTTCGAATGTGAATGAAGTCTACAAATGCAATATAGTTGTGCGTGTATACACACCACCTTACAGGCTCCACTTAGCAGGCTTGTATTGCAACAATAGCGAGTATTTTGAAATAGTACTCTGTATTTTACGCGTTTGTTTCAACAGTGTTTCCCTATCTATGGGCCGCGACCCAACACTAGGTCGCCTAAAAAAAAATTTCGGTACGATTTCTTTTCACAAATACCCAAAAGTTATTGATTTTATTTTCTAGTAAATTTGGTGCTTCCGTAGTACGTGCACCAAGATGGCGCACAACCTATCAAAGTATGTGTACCGGGTTAGGGTTCAGGTTGTGCGTCATTATGATGTACAGGTTTGACGAAAAACACTAATACAGATATCAAGCCGTAAAAATTGCTGCAAACTCCACACTCATGTAGAAATGATGGGCAATGACCCCAGGATGAAAGATCACAAATAAAAAAACTTTATGTCCGAAAAAAAGGTTGGGCCCAAAAAGGCCCTTATCTGCCGGACTATTTGTTCAAGAATTAAACATCAGAAAAAATCACTAGATAACTATTTCGAATCAGTTTTCTAAAAAATTTGTCAGCTCAGTTGGACCAATAGTGACAGCATCCCAATCGCTCTAGCAATTTGCAAAAATGTGGATTCATGTTTACTGACGTTTAGCAATAAATTTAATGAGGAGTCTAAATGGCATTTATTCAAAATGATACTGACGTTTTTTGGAGTAACATCAAACCTGAAATACATTCCACTCCAGTACCCAAAACCTTCCTTCGAAAAACTTGCAAAGTATTTTGCCATTGCAAGATGCCTTCTGATAGATCCCAAACGTTGCAGTGCACAGTGTGTGAAAAAATGTTTCATAAAAAATGAGAAACTTACGAACTGGGCAAGAACTGGAAATGTCCGAATTGTCGTACCTATTCAGTTGAAGATTAAAAAAAACGGAGGAATTGAAAACTTTGCAAGATGCCATATCATCCAACCATGACACACCGATGGTACCGATGTCCGATGTCAATATACAATAACATTCGTGACCTATTTTTATATACAACCTTGCCCACTGGCGAGAACAAAATTGGGCGTGGTTCCAAAGAAACAAATTGCAAATTAAAGCGGCGAAACATCCAAAATTCCGACGGGCGTTACGTATAAAATTGACCGAAAAATGCATAGTTTTAATTTTGGAGTCGGATAAGCTTGACCTTTCAGTAATCTGTCACACGATTATGCATAAAATGGCCCATGTTATGGTGCCGGTAAAAATTCCCAACCATGCACATGCAAAATAATTAAAAAAATGTGGGAGATGCAATCCAAGGCATGTTAAATTTAATCGAAAAATGTTACCCGAGCAGTGGCAGTATTTTCCAATAATCGACAAGTCAGTTTTTAATTAGTCAGTATATATGATTGGATATTAAATATTTCCACATGTAATGGAATGACCTTTCTCGAAATCAAGTTGCAAGTACAAACTAACAGACGATAATCCGACGCGAGTAATGATAGTTTTCACCAAACTTTACTTAGATTAGTTCAACGACAGTTTACTGTCAATAGTCAAAGAATAGTTCACTGAAATGAGATTTTCAATGTCGTCGTTGGCAGAAATCCATTGTTCATGATATCACAATCAGCGTGTGGGACGTTATCTTAGGGCATCATGGATTGCAACCTATTGTATGTTCTCATGCACCACGAGCGGCTGACATTGTACGCTTCGTTGCGAACAAATAACATGTTGAGACTTTTCACTGGTGACTAAATGATGCTGATCTCAATCTCAATAGTTCATCACATATATTTTACTTTATTTTGAGTAACTTTCATCAAAAGCTGTTTCGGAATTTGGAAGTTATTTTTAAAACAAAACCCTAACGCACTTCTATTATCAATATTACTTCCAAGCTTGCGACAGGTAGATGCAACTGCATCGGTACATAATATACAGTAAGTGCATGAATATGAAATGGATTGGCGGTGTTTGTAGCCTACATCACTTAAATGGCTGTATATGTATATTGAGTTGATTATAAGAAATATGTAATGTACATTTGTACATTACTTGAATGAGCGTATATGTATATCTAATTGACTGTATATACATATGCCATTGTCTGTGTATGTACATCATCAAAATGGCTGTATTGGTATATTAATTGGCTGTATATGTATATGGCATTGGGTGTATATGCCTATTTAGTTTGCGCCATATGTATAGTTTTGGTTGTATATGTATATCATGTTACCAACCCCACTCGATCAGTGAAGTTGATATAGTAACAAAACGGAAAGAAAATTCGTAGCTTGATCGAGTAAGACAAAATAGGTAATTACAAGAACAATCTAGGCAATTGAAGGAAGAGTCGCAGAATTTAATGAAGTTTTTTTCTGAGTACCGAATCCTAATTTCTAAATCCAAGTTCTAGTATTGGATATTCCCAACTTACTAGCTAACGCCTTTTGAAGATTTGCATGTCGCTGTATGCCAGTCTAGTCATGAATAAAGTTGTGTTATACATCGGTGTGTAATACCAAATAACAACAGATTATCTTAAATAGCAATCAGGAAATATCCACACAATTTGGCATTTCTGATAAAGGCTACCAGAACTATTAATATTATATTATGATTATTTGATATACATCGATCGATTGATATACTTGACTATCATCTATGTTTGTCGTTATGTACTTGCTTTGACGTAGTAAAAGCTTTGCAATCTTTTATTTTATTGTTTCAAGTCCGATGAAGTACGAGGTGTACCGGTACTTGACTTGGTTGATGATAGTTTGCCTGTCAAGTGTGAGATCGGCAGACAGATAAATAATGTTCAGCACTGGGGCAGTGAAAAGAAATAAGGGATAACGCATGACTTTTTTATTTTTTTCTGAAACTGTACGTGTCTGTGTTACATTACACCACTGTTTTACCTTCCATGAACTACACCAGGGGTCACCAAACTACTGCCCGCGGGCCGGATCCGGCGTCCTTTCATCTGGCCCGCAATAACACGAACAAAAATTTGTCCGAGAATTTTTTTTTCCAAGAAATGTTTCCCCGAGATTCGACTTTCTTGTTCATTTCGTAACATTGTCCAATCAGCAAGATACAAAAAGTGACGCAATAATAAGCCTTTTCGCATCCACGCAAACAGATTTTCAGTTGTAGTTGTAAACAATACCTCGTTTTTGCGATTTTGAATGCAATTCGTTAGTTTTTGGTGTAATTAGTTAGTTTGTAGTGTAATTGCAGTGATCCAAAAAAATTATTTTAGGAATAGCTGTGATATAATTGGCTAAAATTCTTCACCGGCACGCAACATTTTCTGCGATGGATGCACTCTTAACGCGTGCTTATGGCGAAACTGTTACTGTGTACGTTCCTTGTGCTAAAATGAACGTCGAACGTGCATTTTGCGCTAATAGTACTGTAATCTCTCGTGTATTACTCCAATTTCACAAGTCGCATTAACTTTTGTACTGATTATATGCGGCTATGTATGACAGCAATGTTTTGCTAGCAGCTAACCTCAGGATAGTTTTCAAGATCTAGACATCTTGTATATTTTTTTGCTATGATGTTCTCAACCTATATTCTGCGATATAGAGTTTAATATTCAAATCTTCAGAAATGTAGATGCAGAAATGTAGAAATATCGTTGAATAAATTTACTGGTTTCCCAACTTTTGTGAATTTATTGTATTGACAAAAATATTTGTCCGGCCCGTTTCAACACAGTTTGAGTCATACCTGGCCCGCAGCCAAATAAGTTTGGTGACTCCTGAACTACACGAAGAGGAAGTAAACTTCAAGATAGTTAACATTGTTGTAAAACCTTACTCGGGTATATAGCGTGAATACAAGTTTTGGAATGAGTTCTCAGTACTAGGTCATCAAAGCCCGTTTCCGAATAGAAATGTGAAATTTTAAACAATATACCTGATGATTTCAGAATTGAATCGAATCTCATTCAATTTCAGACGCATAAATTACTGAAAACATAAAGTTCATTTTACACATAATAAGAAATATGTTTTATCAAAAACTAACTAGAAAGAAAAGAGTCATATGTCAGAATTGCATTTTAAAAATATGGTTTCCAATAAAATGAAGAATTTTAACGTCGACCTTTGGCGGCAAAAAAGAAAACAAAATAAAGGCGATTTGAAACTTGCGTCCGAACCCATTCGAATGGCCTTACCTGGATGTATCGGCAGTATCCGCAAATTTTTCAGTATCGGTATGGGATAAATATTGACCGATATTTCTAGTAAAATAGGCTTTTTGATCTGATCTGGAATGTTTTAAAAAGATAAGTTATCATACGGACGTTGAAACAATTTTTTGGATGAAGAGACCATGTTCGCGGTATCTGCCCCGTTAATTCTGTGTCATGCACATACTTACCCTCGTGAGTAAAAACGGGGGAGCTCCACAAATGTGTGTCAATATAGAGGGAACTAATAAAATTAATAAACTAGAAATACTCCTTTACAAGATGAAATACTTCGGCCTATAAATACTGCACAAAGACTACTGTTTTATCCAGTCTGTACTGTATACTTGGGGGGATAAATAAATAGTACAGTATCGAAAATATCGGCTGTTTAAAATATAGGTAACCGCGTTTTTTGTTGATATCGAGTCGACGTCGACAACAGAACTGATAATCGGTACATCTCTATTTCCGAACTCCGGTCGATTTTTTGCCAAAGTGGTTTTTAAATATATCATATATAGAAAAAAAACTAAGTCGGTTTTATGTGAATGCTAAGCGATAAGAATTTGGTGAAATTATACAGAATTAAATCCACAAAAAAATAATAATACTCACTTATCACATTACACACACAGCGAATCTATTTGACCTGAATTGTTTACACATTCTGGTCGATAATTTGCAATGTTCGATCGAAATGCTCTATTTCATTGTTTTATAAAGCATTTTGTATCCATTTTAAATGAATCCATAGACAGAACCGACTGTACTCAAATGTCCCTAGAACCTTCAAATATCACAAAGTCGTCTTTATTCAACTCTATTCTAACATAAATCAAGTGCATATGAGATACGCGATATTAGTTCTGGGATAAATAATATTAAATATTCAGATATATTTCAACACTTCGATATGTGAAATCGTGTGGAGATTCCCAATCGATGCATTTCGTTGTAGAACGCTACAACATTTGACACAGTTGGCTTCGGAGTAGGAAAATAGCCCCATATAACCCATTCTCCTGAAAAGATGTGTGGTATTAAATTGAAAAGTTAACAGTTTGTATATATACCTACGTAACGTATACATTTTTTGTGAATTGATTAATGTCTATATTGAATTAAAATATAAACAATAAAATAGCTTAATCCTATCCACGATGATATAGTATTTATTTGTATTCAAAAGTCTTTCCATCAAACATACACAAAAATTTTCTGAAAAACTTTATATCACAAATCTTACCTTGAAGTGTACAAAGTATTCCGACTTGGTAATTCAGATAATCACTGATGAATATGATGTCATCTTTCTCAAGATCTTCTTTAACTTCAAATTACAATCATGTCAAATGTTTGTATATCATGTAATGTAAAATAGTACGTTTAGTAAACCAAATATATAAAGTAATTTTCCAACAACAGTCGACCTCCTTTATCTTGTTAGCACGTGATTTTAAAATAGAACGAGATATTCCTTCGAAACCGGATTAAACTTAACTTGAAACTATTACAAACGGTTTAGTTTTGAATGAACACGATTAAAACAATTCCAATAAAGGATGTTTCCTACATAATTATTTCACTTAGCGAATACCATAAAATTGCCATTTTTCAATCTGATCGTTCAGCAAACTCAGATAGCAGAAGAAAGTTCGGCTTTGCTGTTGTTTATTGTTTATCAAACATTGTTGCACTGGATTAAAGTTATTTAGTAAAACTATATGTTGAATTTGAAATACATAACAAATCTACCTAGTTATCTCAGTGTATGATTTTGCCAAACTACATTTCGATCGAATGAATGATGGTAACTATAAACACTCGAATTATAAAATTAGACATTGTTGGGTTAAAGAGTTTCTTTCTTTTTAATTGTCGCTTGACATCAATCTGACATTGGAAATTTGGATAGACTTCAACGAAAAGGTAGTAGTTTTAATTTTTTATATCTGTTGGAAAGAAATTATTACAAAAAGCAAAAATGTTATTATGTTCAGGAGGATGGCATTCATTTATTTGCAAACTAACCTAAGTTGTAAACCACAGTGTCCAGAGTATTGTTTTCTTTACGAGCATATGCGTTCATCATTGTAGCATCTGCCAATAAAAAAAATCTAATCGACCTCATGCTCGAATAACAATTAAAACACTAGTTGCCTGAACCTAGTTTTTCAATCTCGGCCACAAAAAGAAGGTTTATCTAAAACAGGCTTCAAGTAGCTATATAGCAATCGCTTTTTAGTACCATGCCTTGATGAGAACAAGTCCATATTTTGACAGGGATTAAGTACAGTTGTTCTTCACGGGTTCTCAATTTCAAGCGCTTCCGTTTTCAAATATCTACAAATCATGGCAAGAGTGATTGATATAACGTGCGGTATGCCGTGCGTAAAACAATAACAAACTATTGACAAATCTAGAAGGCTAAATGAGTTTATGTCAAAAAAAAAACTCAAAACAAGATTCGAATAATTTAGAGTTCGCGCTGTGGATTCTTATTATCAAACAACAAACTGTTCTTAAACCAAATACGTGCTCGGCGAATTTTAATTACTAATTTGTTCAATTTGTTATCTTGCAAATGCCAATCAGAATAAAATTGAGCAACAACGATTTGACGGTGAAAGATTGTCACTGTATAAGTATTAAAAAATGACCGCAGGACAAATGTCAATTTAAATGTGAACAAGCGAGTAATGCTCGAATATGTGGACACGACTGTCAAATTATTAGTGGAAACAACAATTTTGGGATGCGAATTATAAAATCCAGCATAATTTGGGTTGCAATGTACGTGACATAAAATTTGAGGAAAATCAGAAGTAATAGCCATTCAGCAATTTCGTCTGGATTAAGTACATACAATCTAAAATCCATTGACCCAATAGTTGTAGAACAATGCGGATGCTCCCTACCATAATTTTACTTGACCGCACAATTTTACTTGATCATTTTCACCCGCCAGTCAGAATAGTAGCAGGCTTCTTTATATTAATGCAATGCAATTTTCGGAATCTCACGTTGAACAAGTTAATTGGGCTGGGTCGGGCTGGTATTTAAACTAAATATTGATAATCAATGAATACCATTGTAGACAGTTGTTTTTCGTAGTGTTTATTTTGCTCCGGTATTTTTATGTATTTCCGACTCACCGCCGGCCATTCGATTTTCTTTATACACTCCTGCTCTCTGACGAATCAAATGCGAGGTCCATTCAACATGTTCTTTGCTGGAAATGTTGTTGTTACGGAGTATATGGAATAGGAACATTTTAGTATGAACAACAGTTGAATAATCATCGATGTATGACAATTATTCATTATGACTAGAGTGCGACTTACGTTATTATCAGTAACATAAGATTGTATTTCACCCACATAGGATATTTTGGTGAGTCAGCAAGAAGAAACAAGCAAGTTATTACTTATCGATCTTGATCGGTAAGTATTTTGATAGGTATTTGTCTGTCTGTCTGTCTGTTAGACACTTTCGTATATGTTACGCGATATCTCACGAAAGCGAGGTTGAATCTGCTCCAAATTTTGCATGTGCATTCATCATATATCGAAACAGAAGATTGATTTTGGATGAATTATGTCGTATAATTAGCAAGGTATCAATTAATTTTTTTTTTTTTTGAAGATCGATAAGTCGGCGGTCTCCGGTCGCTATCTCGTTATTATTGTTACAATTGCGAGTATACGGTTGTTATCTGTTTCATTATTAATAATCAGGGCCTGTTTATTCATGAAACGACTTTCAATGGACAGGAGCAATTGTATATATCGTATACTTGCAATTGTAACAATAATAACGAGATAGCGATCGGAGACCGCCGACTTATCGATCTCCAGAAAAGAAAAAAAATTATTATTATTTATTTAATTGATACCTTGCTAATTATACGGCATAATTCATCCAAAATCAATAGCCTTTTGAGATATGATGAATGCACATGCAAAATTTGGAGCAGATTCAACCTCGTTTTCGTGAGATATCGCGTAACATTCGAAAGTGTCTAACAGACAGACAAACAAATACCTATCAACATACTTGCCGATCAAGATCGATGGGTAACAATAACCCTACCTTCGAATGTAGCTTCTCAATACTGAGTCATATCCATTGCTATTTTTTGTGATGGTTACAATTTCTTCACATTTAACATTGCCAGCAGCTGGATCATTTGTCTGAAGTCCAGTATACCATTTTGTGTCAATTAACTTAAAAGAGGAAGAAAATACAGAACGGTGAAAAGGTTTGAATGACAAACTGCAAAATGCTGTTTCATGAATTTTAACTACCCTTACCTTTTCAACGTGGAGTTCTGGTACTGGTTTTGGAAGTTCACATTTATGCTGAGTTGTTGAAGAAAGTAAATTCAAAATAGATGCCAGGATTAATATTATGTAAGCCATTTCTTGAATGTATTTTTAAACACGCTTTTCTCGACTGGTATAAACAAACGAAATATTATGATTTGGAAAAAAAATAAGACTATGTGGAAAAATGCATTCTAGACTAAACACAGCGCCAAGTACTCTAAATTAAGTGGTTATCGAACTTTTTTGTAAAGAAAATCTCTCAACTTAGCCTACTTCAAAAATTGTTTGAAACATACTCTTTCATTTAAGCTTGACCGTCTGATATTCTGAGAAGTGGAATTTAACATACAAAGAAAAAGCATATTATGGGTAATTTGATAAAGAAAAAGTGCAATGCTCATATACATGTCGCTGAAATCAATATGGTACACATAATTGGAAAGCGATTTTTCAGAAGACCAGGTATAGTTTGGGAATCGAGGCTTTTATTCCTGAAGATCTGTTTCTCTGAGAAAGGTATTCCTTTCCGCCAGTAGTACATGAAAACACAGAGAATATAAGACTGTGGTTATCAGTTTCAGTTTGCAAGACAAACACTTTCTGTCACAAAATTTTCACTTTTTAGGCCGCGGGCTCATCCACCCGAATCAGTTAATAAGTCAATGGTGTTGGTTATCTGCCATTATTTTGTTTTAGAAGCAAATTTTACATTTCCCTGTTATAGCGGTACCAGAAATAGGAGTACACCAACTTGAAAACCAGATTTAATCAACTGAGCAATTTTATGGAAACGTCGGGAATGGGCCTATTCATTTCCATGGTCTTTAAAAATTTGTTCTAAACTGAAGTCATGGGTGTTCAACTTAGGGTTCATATTGCCATTATTTCCGAATTTCAGACTAACAAAATAACAGCTCAGCCTGACAAAAAATATTACTCCGACTTCGAAATAACAATATATAAAAGCCAAAAATTATTTTGCGGAGTTATTGATTTCATACTGACACTTGAGTGTAATTTCGACACCAATATATTTGAGTTATACATGTTTCACAGATTTATTTCAATACAACATGCCATCGAAAATACTGACAGATCCTGCTTTCCCAATTTTATTTTTGTTTTCAAAAGTTTTTTATAGAAGATAGTAGAACCTGCATATACAACCATTAAAATTGATAATCTGTTCTGGGTAATAGTCATCACAATGTTTGCAAATGTCATTGTTGGATTTATAGTTTTTGTAATATATATGTAGCCCGCGTATATACATGCTTAATTTGATATTATTCGATTTTCTTCTATTCCATGTTCAGTTCTCTGTCACGAAGTCGTCGGATTCATCTAAACAAAATTCACGCTGTTTAAAAACCACTATTCGCTATCTGTACAAAGAGAATTCCATCAATTTAACAAACGGAATGTAATCCTATCTTTAGGAAAATTTGTAAACTGTATTCGATAACTGAATCGAGTATGAAAAATTGTCGTTAACATAACTACTCGTCAGAAATCTGCGGTTGTCCAAAAATGTGATTCCGACATTACCTTTTTAAATTATTGGCCTGGGGATCTGACCTCAAAACACAAGGTACAAATAAAGTAGCATCAGTGAAAGTACAATATATGATAAGTTAACATCACCTTACCTTCAAATAGCAAGACTTCTGCACTTCCAGGTTGGTACGTGTCTGATTCGTCTGTTTGGTAATTTATATCGTGTTTGATAATTCATATCGTCCCGCTCAAGTATTGACTTTATACGGAACACTAGCGCAGGGCTACTCAACTATTTTTACCAAGGATCCGGATACAAAACTTCAAAAATATTTGGGTCCTGTCTTCCCAGAAATTATATTTCGGCATGCGTAAACGCGCACTTCCTCGGCCGACTGATGATTACTAGCTAATCAAGATTTTCATTATTGCGCTATAGTTCTTTTTATATATATTTAAAACTATTTAACGTGATTTTATCAAAGGAAACTTCAAAAATGGGGCTAATGATCCAAAATAAAGAATTAGGCGCGGTCCGAATCGAATACCCGAAAGGTCCGGATTCGGACCGCGGATCGCCAGTTGAGTATCCCTGCACTAGCGTATTGAATTATGAACAAACGCAATACAAATGTATGATAAAAAGTTATCAGAACAAATGTCAAAACGTGATTTAGCTTGGATACCAGATAAAATGAACTATTTGCCTTTTTCAGCTATTCCCAGCACCCCTGAAATGTTGTAGTGTCCCTCCTATTCATTCGGCCGGTATCAATCTAAACCTACTCGCACGAGCAATACCGGATCGGTAATATATTTTATGCATAACATAATGTCTGCTCATCACAAGTGAATCACACTTCTATGTACCCGAAAAGTTTGGTATAATTTAGTTTAAAACACTGACATAAACCCTCCTAAACCGGGTCCGAAAGCCTCATTCCGATCTGAATGAAAAGTTGCAAGAGCCTCCTCTAACGCATGTTTCTCGACTTTTACCCAATAAAAGTTTTTCTCATACATTTCGGTGGCAAAATCGACGATGTCTATTTTTATAGTATATTAGCAGCTATATATCTTCTAAGTAACAATTTTTTTTTAAATATGTAAATAGCTGAACAAGTAGGCCTACTGGCAGTTAATTTAAAGCCTATATATAGTTTTGCGAGTCCATTTTCACCACAGCCAAATGAAAAATCTTGCAAAGACAAAACGATTGCCAAGTTTTGTAGTTATAACTGAATTTATACCACATAACTGAAGATTGAAAAGTGACAGACAAAACGAGGAAAATGAGCAGGTGTTTACAACCTGCTACAAATACTTGAAAATCTGTTCGAGTGAATAAATATCAGTGCGGCTTTTATTTTATTTCTGACAGAGGCCCACGATCATACAGTATATATTATCAGAAGTACTTACTTCCATCTAGTTCTTGGGAAAATCGACGAAAGCTGTGAACAGCCAAAAAAAGTTGAAATGATATCAGTATAAAAACGCAGAGGTTTATCGTGTTCTTCATCCTTTTAGTTCGGCTCACAGTCATGAATTGAAACGAAAACAGACAACGCTATTATTTGTACTCACAAACCCGGTAGATCCGTCGCTTCAAAAGCGTGAGACATGAATTCAGGACGTGATGGAGGATACTTTGCCCGGAAAGCTTAAAGCATGAAATAACAACGTGATTGAAATTCAATCATCACGTTACATTTTCATCGGCAGCCCGCGTATGATGAGTCTATATATATATCAATACCTCTGACACCCTGTGGGTAACTTTACCAAGACAGGTAAGACTTGAAGCGTTGAAGGACACTTGGCAACTTTGAAATAATCACCTCATAATTTTAACTTTAGGCACATAGATAAGCCTTGCTTGCTCCGAGCTCTACGCTATTTGTTTGTATACCGTTGTGTATATGAGAATTTATTTCTGTAGATCTTTTGCCTTTTATTCGTGTTATCAGATTTAGTACAGTCGATTTTGAATCTTACAAAGGAATCGCAAATGTGAAATGACAAATTTTGACATTGCTATTGAATTTCCCAGTCGTATTTCTTCTGCAAAATTCTTGCAGTCGTCCGATCTAATAAACCTCCAGGAGTAAATTACCGCCCAAGAATTTACATAATGTCTATATTATACTGTATTTATCATACTTTCTTTATTTATTTCATAAATTTTAGTTGAATTATTTTTGGCTTCCCTCGCTTTAGTCTAGGAGTCGCAGCGCTTATGCTCGCATAGTCGTATATGCGATTTATACTATCTCCCTTGTTCGTGGTACCACAGAAGCCCAAAAGTAGATTCACTGTGCAATCCCCGCCCATTAATTTATTCGAGTCTTTTCGCAACGCAAAATTACAATGAGCAATGTCAAACATTCCACGTACTCTGATAAAGCAAAAGTATCGATAATATCGATACGAAGAAAAAGAATAAATCAATCAAAGTAAAACAGCACGTTTATGTTCTGCTGATGAAGACAATCAAGCTCTTGCACTTTTATAACGAAAATACGAAACATAAAACGCATATGATGGCGTAACAATATGTTTGAGAGTAAATCGCGAACCGTAAATTGTAGCTAACGATTAGGGTATATGAAATCTCAATTAAATCCACCATTCAAGTAAATGGGGTGAATTCTCATGTCGATTGGTGTTTCTGCGCATAGTCGTCGCCACTATACCCCCGTACCCCTTCTTCCATTAGTTTAATCAGAACGAAATGAAGCGAAATGAAAACTCCTTCCACCGAAAAAAAAACATTTTAAACTAGTTTATTCAGGAAAAATTGCTCCGTCGTTATTACCACCAATTTGCATTCTCTCATAATCCATATATACTGGAGATAAAAATGGTAGGTGCAAATCGGTACGAAACAAAGATTCCTGTAGCAGTTTGTAGACAGAAATGTTGTAAACACACTTGTAGCGTTTTTCACAAATCAAGATATTGCCTCAGAGCGATCCCAAAAACAGAAGTATATCTTACTGCACAGCGTCTGCACTGCCGTATATACTGAGCCGGCGGACATTGTTTTTGAGACACCGTTATAGTATGGAGTGTCAATGGGCTACCATCTTATGGAATAATAAGAGTACAGTACAGGAATTGAATATTGTCAAAGATTTGCGTGAAAAATGGTCAAAGACAAATGCTTGATCAAAGCATAGGCCGTACCTCTGTCAAATTACAAAAGCAGTTCTTTTTGGTCAGAACCAATCAAATATGACAATAAAAATGATACAAGTAATTATTGATTTTAAAGATGTTAAATTTGCCTTCCTCTGTGTTTTACATGAAAGTCATCAAATTCTCAGCCGTTCAGCTTTATGCCTAAACATTTTTCGCTGCACTCTATATTTGCTACTTATGAGAAATCGCTTTGCTTTATCAGTCTCCTCCGTTATAGCTTTGAATACATCAGTCAGTTAGCCAACTTAGTCATATGTTTGTTTAATTTGCTGTCAACTTAAATTATTCCAATGCCTGTACTCTCGGTACCTTCAGTATTTCTCGTTTCCTATTTATTTAGGAATGTATCAGTTTTTAGTCGTTTGCTGATATATTACATTTGTATTGCAAAATGCATTTATTCTTTAAACTTAGTGGCAAGCATCCAGACTCTCTATGCTGTCGTTCGTTGCTTGCTTGTCTTATAATTCTTAAAATAAATATTGGTATTTATTATAAAAAGAAACAGTCGTTACAAATTTAAGACTATGTTTATTTTTATAAAGATAACAATCACACAAAAACTTGCCTAAATTTATATCTGCAATTTGCCTCTTGCATGTTTACCTATTGTTGAACATATATATTTATCTCTTTTTAATCGTTAGTGGGCAACGTTGTGTAAAAAAAACATTAGGAAATGAAATCCGGCAAAACCGGTTATAAATATACGTTACGGTTTGCTATTCTTAAAAGCAATGGTTTTTGATAGCTATTTTATGCGGTGGTGTTTTGGGATTAGAGCAAAAAAACATGTGCCGAATTTTCATGCCGTCCCTTTTCCACACCAAGAAGCAAAATGATTAAATTTTAAGGTAATTAGTTTCACAATTTCGATTACGTTTTTTTCCTAAACATAAACAGTGAAATATTGCTGGCTGATAGTTTCAGTTGGGGATTATTTACTTTTTTTTATTTATCTAAAGAGTGTGGTCATTCTTGTACAACTGTCAGAAGTTGTTGCTACACTACATATGGTTTGTGTGTGAGGATTATCTTCGAGTTTTCGTTAGCAGTATACACGATTGAAATGACCTTGATTGTGTTAACATCCCCAGTTTCAAAGTATTAACATGTCACAGCCTTATCGCTTCACATAAACCTTCATTTTATCTTCTGGTCTTATTACCAACCGCAACTTGAAATCGTGTCGTGTTGAACCTGATATTCGGTATGATGAATGTCAAATATTTCTTAGGAAAATAATTTTATAAATTGAAACAAACCTAGAAAGCGTCCTCCTTTCACAATTCATATATACATATTTCGTCTGAAATAACTTCAGAATGTTGTAGTCCATTGGTTGGGTTTTCTTGTAGACAAAACTTGCAAGATTGTGATCCTCGTGACATAAATTCTTACATGACGACTGCTTCTGATCAGAACAAGGAATAATTTTAGCAGGAGATGAATATGTATTTCCATGACATCCATTCACAATTACATGAGTGATCGTGATCTTATTTGGCCCAGAAAACATTATAATAAATAGTTGTCAAAGGAATCATGATTTTTCAAAACAGGTAAGAAACATTACTGATAGAGAACCGTATTCTGGTCTATATACTTCATTTTTCCAAGATATTACAGCGGACTTGAGTTGACCTAGCTTTTCGCCGTTTTATGTCAAAAGGCATTCAACTATAAACCACAAAAAAGTAAATTTTTGGGTAATCATTTAAACTACGGATGTGACTAACTGATTATAATTGAGCGATACTACAAACAATTTGTACCCCGCGTCGAGCCTCAGCCTTGAAGCTGGGGGCATTTTTATTATTATTCTATACACAAAAACTGCCCAAATTGCAGAGAAAGAAGAATAGAAAACACGCACAATTCCTTTACAAATGATGTACTGATATTTCTGATTGTAAGTCCATTACATATATAGCTGTGTCATGCTTGCTGAGGAGCGTTCTATATGCGAACAAAAGTGTCTCCCAATACGAGGTCCACTTAAGGCAAAGTCTCGCGCACTCTCTCAAACCTTCTTCCATGTGCGGGCAGGTACTGGGATCGTGAAGAATTATGACGGCGCATTAAGCAACATGTAAATGCCAATTAACATAAGACGGGAGGCAGGTCAGTTCAAATAAAACGTGAAACAAAGGATGATCAACAGGCCCTAACTATTGAACAATAAGGAATGGTTAGCATAGCACCTAAACTAACTCACGCTGCGATTTACAAACAGCACTTTTAATAACAAACGCCAGAAACTTATCAAGTTCTACTAGCATATACAAAATAATAAAGTTCAAACTAACTTGCCTTATCCGAAAATCAGTATAACCTTTGAAAACACCTGACGTATTAACACGTATGTAATACAACCAATTATATTGCACTAGTCTACTTGATTTATTAATTTCAACAGCAAGCACACGACGCTTTTTAAAAACAAGATTTTGTTTATGTCTAGTCGTCTGCAGCGCTGATTGCACAACATTGTTATCTATCTGTTAATTGCTTCAACAATTATAAGTAGACGAGTTGCGCGTTCAGATAACATTGGCAAATCAAGTCTGCATAACAATACAATACTCTATTACTATTTAAATAATGCTATTCTTCCCTTATCTAGATATTTGTCACTGCACCTTGCAGTGTTTCGCGTGTAAGTTATTTCTCTATGGTATGCATTTTTATTCCGTCCGTTTAATTTATGAGTCATTGATAAATATTTCAATATTTATTTTGCAGTTAATTTTCACAATAAACGTGTGTGACGTGCAACATTGGCGTGAGTACATATGACAGTTTTGTTTTACAGTTTATTCGTCCGGACTGGAATGCGCTGTTCCGAATCGCCAGAAAGTATTCATTCATGAATGGTCGATTTCGAAACCGGAGGCGGATTATTATTTTAAAAATAAAAGCTACATTTGGGTATTGCGTTGTATTTAATATTATATTGACTAAAGTGATTCGAGTAATCTTTGATTATGACATCATCAAATTATGTTCTTGGTCCTCTTGTATTACGAGATAGATATTCATGATGCTGCAAGACGTATACAGTCTTAATAAATATATTTAACTTAATTTAACAATGATTATGATTGAAACAAATAAGCTACAAGAAATTACATTATATCGCATTAAATCATTATTCTTTACTTAATATTTTTACATCTTGAAATGCTAATGTTAAGTGATGCAGTTTTCAATGAAATCGAGTATAAAGCATACGTAGAACTCGCTATTGCAATGAAATTGCTTCAATATAACTTAGCTTTTAAAATGCAGTTTTCTGGAATAAGCCAAAGCCACAGCACCCCGGGATAAGGAAAAATTAACATAGTAACATTTGAAACTCATGGTCGAATTTCTAAAATGAAAGTATTTTTATAAAAAACATTTTTGCAAAGTTGATTATAGATGTCCAATAAACCCAACAGATACAGTACAATTTAAGATAAAAACGAATTTAACGTAACATCGGCAAAACATGCAAACAGAAAATAAAAATAGAACAACAAACAAACGTAAGAACATGAAGTGATCCAGGGGTCGGCAACCTACGGCCGCGAGTCAGATCCGGCCCGCGGAGTAACATACGTTGATTATATTCTTTAAGTAACAGAATTTAGTGTGAGACATATGTAGATTAAATTAAATATTACCTAACTATTTAGTGTGCTATTAACGAGCCTACAATTCTTATAATTGGACAAATGCAAACACGCAATAAAGTTGATGCTGAGTGCAGAAGGTTCAAAGGCGCAGAAAATATTTGAGATCTTGAGATCCAATGCAATGAGGAAATAAAATCCATATTCTATTCGAGAGATGTGTCACTGTTTGATTTTTATAAAAAGTAGCTTCTTGAAGAAAATCATTATCCAAGTTAGACAAACCATGCAAAAAAAAATCCCATTGATGTTTGGAAGTACATATGCGTGCGACTCATTATTTTTGAAAATGAACTTTACGAAGTACAATCTGGGATTGTGATGCCCATCCGTACGATTTTTAACTTTCTAAAAATATGTGCGACCCGCCAAGACTTGCAACCCTTAATTTTGGCCCGCGAGCGACAAAAGGTTGCCGACCCCTGAAGTAAGCAGTACCCCTAAAATACGCATTTTGAAGTGCTCGTTCGTTCACTCCAATTAGTCGCCAGACCACCCATGTAGCGGGCATTTTTAGAAAACAGCAAAATTCGCGGTAAAACAATGTGTCCGATTGAACACAAAAATATATATATCATACGTTTTCAACTATACTGAATATCCAAAAGCAATTGGTCTGATGGGATCGGAAAATGGGATTTGAATTGTCCAATACGAAACAACTTTCTCCGCACTGCACCGTGAAAAGCCCTTTGTCATCAAAACATTGCAGGTGGCGCTTCCATGAAAGTAGAAACGCATGAACGATCTTTTCAGAATCAAATAAACAATATTTTTTCAAGCATTTCCACCGCATAAAAAATAGTCATTTCGTTCATATCTCGCGGTTTTTACAACAATCTTTTTTAGTTCAAGTATGAACCTCGTCAACCTCACATAGCCAAAAATAACAACAAAACGCTTTCAGTCAGAAGATAAAGCCACGAAAACATGCTTCTTAATAATGCACACTATTATAGGAGGAAGCGTATAAATCAGAACAATCTCGATACCTCGACCACAACAATTAAGATGGCAGAAATAATGAAACCGAGACATCGCTCAACAAAATCTGATAAAGGTGAATATGTTGTTTCATTGGGTTGAAGCGTCATCAAATACTATCAACCTGTATTCACGGATGAATCATATTTCGAACGCTCCGCTCTTTGTCCATGAGCCATAATTGGCAATAAAATATTCAATAAAGATAATATCATTATCGAATCGGGAGACGATGACTTTGAGCGTTTCGACGCGGCTTGTGAATGACGAATGTATCATGATCGGATGCGCTTATTTTACTAGTTTCACGAAGGGAAATTAGAGTGTCCGTTTTGTTATGGCTAGGAAGAGTTTCGGTTTTCAGCAATCCATCTTTTCTTACAGCATCGACCGAAAGAAAAGTTCTCGGTAGCGTGTTCGCTTCGCCAATGTCTAAACATTGCGAATCATATCCGGTCGGTAAAATCTTTCTTGCTGTCTTTTTACAAAATTGGGACTGGACATTTTTTTCGTTCGATTCCTGCGATGGTGCATCACAAATGTTTATATGGTTCGTTACGTTGTTCATATTCCTGTGATGATTGTGACCATCCGCAGTAGAAAATCCTTCAATTGTCGCTCTGCTTTGACTGCGTTCACGTATTTTTTGTGATTTTCGTTTCTTCTTTATCATTCGCCATCTCCTGAGGTAAATCAAAATTGTTTTAAAATATGAGCACAGTAATAAGAACCGTTGTTTGTGACAAGTCACAAAAATTACATGCACAAAGAAAATATATTTGTGATGAGAAGAAGCATAATAACGACAGTGAACTTTACAAGACCTAGAGTTTAACAAGACCAATTAGCTGCCTATCTTAATTTGAGAGAAGTTATTTCGTCTTTCGGTCAAATATAGAATCGCACAAGTATTTAACTGTTTAAGTCGTTGTTTAGCATACAATCAAATCTTGTAAATCATACAAGCAAAAGAGTAAGATGTAATTCTTCAATCGGTATCTTTTGAGGTTTTAAAGAAAAAATTTAAAAAGCTAGGAAAATACTTATTTCAGGATATTAAAATATGTAATATAAACAACCTGAAAACACATTTGGCCCTATGATCTGCATAAAACTCGATCAGTTGCTTAACATATTGTTACGTAAAATACAATGTTGATATTATTTTGGATTCAATAGCTCTAAACAGAGACGCGATACACAAAGTTAATTTGCACAAAAAGGTTTTCCGAAGTTCGCCCCAGAATATCACATGACACAATGATACTAATTATTAGTCTGGCAAATTATTACATACCTCCATATTACCAAACTAGCAACTATCAATGCTATTAGTATAAATCCGCCGGTCACCAGACCGGCCACTAATCCAACGTTTGAATTTACATTTGACTTTTGTGTAAAATCAATATCTAACTTATCACAACGACGTCCGCCGAAGCCAGTAGGACACCTAAAAAGGAGATGCGAATATTTAGCAACAGTGTTAATAAGTTTGAGTTGAATCTGTTCATCAAATGTTATAAGAAAATTAAACTATGAAATAGAAATATATTTTAGATGTTCAAAGAAGATAATCCTATACTGATAACTCATATTTTCGCTTGGAACAAGATTGTCCTGGTAATAGTTCGCCAAGCATATGTCATTGAAGACATTTATTGATTTGAACTTCAGTCATAATTGAAAGTTATATAGTTTTGTCATGGGCATAATAAATTTCAATTGAACCATGGTTTCTATCTACAATAAACAGCAAAAAATATACTCACGCGCAAAGTTGTTCGCCTAGTTTTGTCACGCATTTTCCTCCGTGCAAACATCCACAAGCATTACCAGTTGACATATTTGATTCAGTTTCATTACTCGCTGCAGGGCTTTCAGTCGTCATTCAAGTTCTCATTGAAAGTGTGTTTAGTTTTTAAAAAAATCCTGCATCTGGATACATTTAGAAAAAATTTAAACATTTCAATCATATCTAAAACTATTCTGTTTTATACGAAATCGACTGAATGTTGCGTTTGCGTATTCGCTATGTTAATTACCAAAAGACACAACCGATTAGAGTTTGCGTTTACCAACGCCTTGTCATTGTCATTAAAGCCGGGCTGTCGCTATACTTCAGTATAGCCATTTTGGATCCTATTATATGTGTAACAACAATAAAAACGGATTTCAGTAGTTCTCAAAAATAACTACTAAAAATATTTAATAATTTTGGGTGAATAATGAACTGCAATGTTGAGAAGCCTTGGCAGATATCTTTTACGCACCATTCTGTAGTTTAAATCATCATCATTTAGAAAACTAACACAACTAAACTGCATTCGACTAAATATCGAACTAAAACAACAATATACCCTGAATAAAATCTTAATAAAGAGCGATAGAAGGTTACGGTCAGAACATGTTGTTTTGTCTAATTTGCATGTAAGTGATATGTTTTAAAGTTGCAGAATTGAACTCGGTACGGTATATCGAACATATATTTTGGAGAGTTCCTACAATTCTATATTTCATTTTGATAAATTACGAAGCACCTCGAAATTTTTATACTATATATAACTATACTTTGTGTCGTTAAAATTTCTAAATTTGGAGAAAGACTATGGCTTCTAATCTTCCGTGAAATAGTTTTATAATTGTAATAAGCATGTAGGTGTGCGATATGCGCAATTTTTTTTATTCAAATTAAATAGCATTTTCTCGTTGTGTTTATAACTATTTTCTACCATTATGAAAAATGTTGCAAAATATATAAATAGTTTGGATTGTTTGCAATGTAAAATTGACTTAAAATCGTTTTCATTTGTGCAACTACGGTATTGTTAGATTGTCAACGTGACAATTCATTTCCTATTGGTGCCGTTTCAGACACAATAGCTAAAAAGCATTAAAAAAGAAGCTTGATAAGGATTTTCAGCCTAACCTTTATAATCGATTCGATAACAAACTTTTTATTTATACCTATTCATAATAACTGCGTGTGGTGATGACAGTATTTGAATTTGTGAAAATCTATTTGGCTACCGAAATATTGATGCTACGAAAGCAATACAATATTTATTTAAAGGTTCATTTCCACATTTGGATTTCATTTTCAGATAATAATTAGTCGCCATAGTTACAAAACTGTTCCCAGCAGATCAGAAATGAGTTCATCTCAACTAATCCCGTCTTTCTTTGTGCCACGCCTTCGATTTTGGTTTAAATTTCACATTTTGAGATTTATATTACCCGACGCAAAAGAACCGTAATAATATACGAAATTAGTAAGCATTTTGTTTGGAATTATCATTACTCATTCTGTAATAAAGTCGAATTTCAGCAGAACATGTAATTTAAAATGTACAAACGGAAACAGATATACCAGGCGAGTCAAGTAAACAACATGATGAATAACCGTGATGAAATGTGCGTCTACTAAAATAGTAAATCACTTTATTACTTTATAACATGATATAATCACCGGATGACACCTGTGCCATCATTATTTTTACCTGAGTAGACGTGCCAAAAATTTGTCAACAATTTTCCATAACTAAAATTCATGACATATATTTTTGAACTATATAAATAATATAGAACTCTAATATTTTGTTCTGGCTGTTATACATAAAACATTTTGAAAATGACATATACCTTTAAATGTAAAATCTAACGTATTAAACCAGTTACGAGAAATATTTTACCCCCGTGATAAAAATGTACAATCAATTTAGATATCTTGAAGTTTTAAACCATATGATGGGAAATATAGAAGTGTGCGGTGTGGCATTTGAATCGTGATTTTGCACGACTGTAATGTGGCGAAATGTAATAGAAATGTTGACGAAAACATGCCTTGCAAAATTTGTTCTTCATGGTACTAATACTGGCCAGTATTTGGTGATGTGTGGGCATGTAGGCTTTATTGGTCGAAACTGATTTCAGATTAATCTGTGTACTTTGATATTTAGATTTTGAACTGACTGACTGACTTGAACCATTTATTTACTTGCGGTAAAATTTGTTAAACATTGAGAATTGTTCTTCTCCACAAATCAGTAAAAACGTGAAAATCATGTATGCAATTTGGTTTTATATTTATCTATGCACTATTTCGTGATAGGTTTTATTTTGCTACATTTGTATTTTCTGATGATTTGTAGAGGTTTCTGGAGATAAAAATCTAACAGAAGGTTAAGCATTGACAAGAACATTTGGGAATTAAAAAAATAAAATTCAATGTTATCGCTTCAAATATCTAAATTGCATTATTGGTGCATTCATTTGTCAAAAGTTTGGCAATTTTGCTGTCGCAACAAACATGATATAAAATGATATTTCACAGTCGTTACAAAACTGTGTTTTTAAATTCAATATTGAAATTGAATGCGAAAATTTAAAATATATATATGAATAAAAAATTTAAGAAAATTCATAATTGGTTTATAATATCAAAATTTGAGAATAAAGTACAATTACGATACTCCACATGTTTTAAAATTCATACTCGCGAGCTGCAACTCATCAAGAAAACTCATCAGGATCTATATTATTGAAAAAGTCATTTCTCGTCTTCGACTTCATAGCACTAAAATGAAAAAGGCTTTCGTGTTATATAATTTTTACGGCCTTACCTAGCAGATCTTAACACCGAACACATCATAGCTAATAGTATTGAATATAATTTTGGAGTTTAAAAAACCCGAATCATTGTTGTTGTACATTGTAATGGGTACTCTCGTAATGTGTGTACCATGTGTAGGTTAGGCCATAATTTTATGCCGATTCACCCAATTTTAGTTCTATTACGAGTTCGGTTACTGTCTGTGTTAGCCAACCTGTCCACAAGTTTCAGTCTTTTTACACAACTTTATGCAAAATAGGCGGACAAAATTAGTCACCTCCATATTGGCACACACACTTCTGGAACGCCGATTATTGAACTTTTTTGCACTGTGTATCTTAGGTTCACTAGAACATGCGAACTCTCTCGCATAATACCTACTAATAACTTATTTCCTACAACGATCAACCGACTCATATAATTCAAAATATAAAAGAAAAGCCTTGTACACATTTCGCGAATGTGGTAATAGACTCGATTTTCGTGTTACTACTGTAAAAGATGGTAAAATTCGATATTACTGCATCCCATATAAATCAAATCCAATGATCCGGGTATATATTTCGTTCCGTTGCACGTTTTGACCAATGTTCTTATTTAAATTTATGTCAGATACTGTGAGTTTAATTTGTTTACATATATACACAAAAGTTCAGGAAATAGCTTGACTCTGAAGCTTTGAAGTCAGCCTGTTTGAAATGACGAGTTTAAAGGCATTCCTAACCAGATTGAATCCGAACTACCGTAATAAAATCACCGAGAGAAATAATCATTCTGAAACTAAAAATAAAATATATTTATTTTAATGTAAATACCCAACATTATACGAATGGAAGATGTAATTCATCTAAAGTTTTCCAAAAATGATTAAGGTCTGAAATCGGAATGAAGCGGGCCCGATTCGTGATCACGTATTAATTTATTTTTTCTGCAACATTTTTCTGAGTCGACATTGCAAAACTGGTAATCATAGACTGTTGAGAAGAATATACACAGTTCTATTGTAAGTCACCATTTAGCACAGACATTGGACATAATGTCTCAATCAGTTATGTACAAATAAAATGGATGAATACTCATGCCAATATTTAAATATATTCATTTTTGATTCGAAATGATGAATTTGAAAAATAGAAAAGTATTTGAAAAGAGCTTTGTCGAACAAAATGCATTTTTTTTTTATCAAATATAACTTCATTTTTAGTGCACATGAAATTACTAGATATGTTTACATCAATCTAATTACTGTAATGTAAAAACGTGTTCTAAACTGTTCCGCTCTCATTCTGAAACTGCTCGATGATGAACTCAGAAGTAGTCTCTTTATTTGTCTAATTCTTATCAGTTTGCATTCAGACGTAACCTGCATATTAAATTCTGTTCTTCTTTATACTGTCATTCATTTCTGCCGAAAAGAATCAATTTCACAGTATTTAGCCGTGTCGAATCGCCCATCGCAAACAGACGAATACGTGATATGAGCTGGCCTGTTCACGATACTTGCGATATTTATATGATAAAACACGAGCATGTTTGTTGTCCTTCCACTTAAGCCGTGACCGCTAATTCTGTCCACGACATTATATTACTCGAGAAAAAAACGAGATTTTATGGCATGTGGCTTAGACTTCAAACTTCGTATATAATATTACCGGCGTGGAATGTAAATGGACTCAGACGACGAGCTTGTTACTAAGCAGCGATATAAATCACAAAGAAAAATCAGAATATCCGTAATAGCGGGTAATCTAAAAAATAATATCAGGTAAAAATTTTCGAACAACGAAAAGTAATTAGTATACGGACCTGTTGCTTTTACGCTGCCTTTTAGTTTAAAGTCGTGATGTCGGCGTCTATGATCTTTTCATCGAACATGGTAGGATAATAAACAATGAATAGCGGACTTTTGCCGCACAAATGTCGTGTTTAGATCATGGCGAGATATGAGAACGCGTTAAGCCATTTCTGATACATTTGATACAAATCGGGATATCGAACTTAAATTGTGGGGGAAAATCAAAAGTCGTCATTATTTCGTAGAACTTGTCAGGCGTATTCCGGAAAATCTTCAAAAATCGCGTTTTGAATCTCCCCAGGTTGATTCGGCGGTGATGTATGTTTTAATGTTAGAACAAGATGTTTACGGGTTGAGTTTGAGTGTCGTTCCTCGAAATCCATTCTTTATCATTCAATCTACAACTTTTACTCAGTGTTTCGTGTTCAATAACAAACTTTTCTCATTAAATTTATAGATGTTTGATTATTTAAAGTGTAACCACAAAACGCTGATATAAGGCACGTGAGTTCTTTGTTTTTGCTAGCGTTT